TCGATCCAGCATAATCAAGGTTTCAGTGATCTCTGTCTGACAGAGAGGCTGTTCGAGACCCTTGCCTGTGGGTAGTAGGGGTCTGCCCATGGCTTCATCTGACTAGTTATTCTGCAGATGAGTTTTGGGATCCCACTGTCTCCATAGACTTCTACCTATTGGGTGTTCATCATTTAAGCTCTGATACTTTTCCCCTTGTCATATTTGAATTTTGTGATTCTCATCTCTGGATCACAGAAGCCGGTGTGCTTCTTCCTTGTAGACTTAGTGGACTCCTCACTTAGATGGTTGCCTGTGTGAGTGCAAGCCTTTAAGACCCCAGGCACTACTCTGATGGCTAGCTGGGCACCATCTGCTCTCTTCCCCACTGGGCTGTAACAGCCTTAGCTTCAGTGGTCATTTCGCCAAGGTGAGTATCGAGCAGAGCCATGCCATCAGAACGAACTGTTCTTGGATTGGGGCTAGAGTTAAGTGGGAGCCCAGAATCTGCTTGTCCATGGGATCTACACATCTCAAGTTTACTTTGGGGTTGTATTATGACAAAATCAAAACTCCGTAAGACCAACAACAGCAACAAACCAACTAGCAAACAAAACAAAAACAAACTAAAGGCAGGAAAACAAAACCCCTTAGAAACCAAAATGTAAAACCTGATCCACCATCCCCCTGGGGTAGAAGCCAGGCGCACTGATGACATCATCAATCTTCCCGATGACACAGCACTCTGGACAGTGTCCCACCTGGAGCTGCAACTTGTGAGTTGTTGCCTTAGACCGGTGGTCCTCAACCTTCCTGATGCTGCGGCCCTTTCATACAGTTCCTCACGTTGTGGGGACCCCCCACCCATAACATTATGTTCGTTACTTCATCACTGTCATTTTGCTACTGTGATGAATCGGGCGACCCGTGTGAAAGGGTCGTTTGACCCCCAAAGGGGTCTCGACCCACAGGTTGAGAACACAGTTCCATCTGCCATTTGACTGAGCTCTGCTTACCCAAAGTATGGGGATCGATGTCAGGGGAAACTTCCTGGATCAATTCTTCGGACTGCAGATCCCTGCCCAACAGGCTGAAGCCTGTCATGGCACTGTGATGTGGGCATCGAGTTCCCAAGGTACATGGTGATTCTGGGTCTCTTTCCACTGGATACCCACCCAGCTAGGGGTTCTCCCAAGAGCCAATGACCACCACTTCCACAGTCCTGGGACGGCCACTCTCTGCGTCCTCTCCCATCCCAGTACCCCCGTCCTCAGTCCAAGGGTGCATGCATCTTTGAGGCAGGGCTCCGTTCATTCAGCCCGGTCTCTGTGTTAAATCCTTCTGGTGTGGCCGTGTTATGCCATGTTGCCCGAAGGTCAACTTCCGGGATCTTCATGGTGCTTCGTCCATGGCGTGGTTCGCCGAAGTTTGAGTAGAAACATACTCATTGTGTCCACCCAGGAATACAAAATCTGGCCCAATGGCCCCCTAGGTTCCCTCCACTCATTGTTCGGCATCCCTTCCGCTGTGAGGCTACTTCTCTGTAGTCGCCCACCATCCTCCCCAACAGAACTCTCAGTGTCTCCTCCACAGTGCCGATGGTCCCCTCCTCTGGTCTTGGCTTGATTTTCTGGCAAAATTCCCCTTCCATTCCTGTGGGGGCCCCCTGATTTGCCCCAGCCTTGTCTCGATGCTGCGTGGCTTTAAGTGGATGGCCATCTCCCATTTCCCCCGTTTTGAAGGCGTGACCCCGGGTGATGTGAGGGCGCCTCCTTCAGGTTGACTGCTTTTCTCTTCACACCACCTTGCGTCTTCTCCTCTTTTCTCTCTTACAAGGATACTTGTCATTGGCTACAAGGACTCCTACAGGTAATTCAGGAGCCCTGGTGGCAGAGTGGTTACTCACTGGGCTGCAAGCCCTGGCAGGGTTCTCAGTTTGAAACATCAGTTGCTCTGTGGGAGAAAGATGGGCTTTCTACGCCCATAAAGAGTTACAGTCTCATCAAATGTACAGGTGGACTTGACACAATGGATGTATGTATGGATTGTGATGAGAATTGTACGAGCCCCCAATGAAATGATTAAAAAAAAAAAAAGAGTTACAGTCTGAGACACCCGCGGGGGTAGTTCTACCTGTCCTGCAGGGTTGCAATGAGTCAGAGATGGACTTAATGGCAGTGAGTTTTAGGTCCAGGACAACTTATCCAATGCTGTTCGTCTAAATTCATCTGCAAAGACCCTTTCTCTAAAACAAGGTGATATTCACAGATTATGCTATGGGAATAACCACCCAACCCACTACAGAAAGCACGGAGGAAAATAATAGAGTAAAAGACAGCATGTGGTAGAATTAGGGAGGTTTTTATTTTCCTTCTGTTTTTCAAATCTCTGGATAGCAAGGTTATGCGGATTTTATATTAAATAACCCCCCCCCCCCAGTATCTTGTCCTGGAGTTGCAGTTCCCAGTTTTATCAAGACAGCCGTGGGTCACTTAGATAAGATCGGGGTAGATGACCAGCTCTGCCACAGACTAGTCTACGCGGCTCTGTTCACGTTGGCAGACCTCTGGGCCTCGGTTTCCCCATCTGCAGGATGGAGTCACGGCTCTTCGTGCTGAAGGCTGCCAGGTGAGGCTTAAAGGAAAGGACGATGGGGAAAGTTCCTGCATTGGTTACAGGTCAGGCGGCCCACTTGTAACAAGGTAACCCCCCAATTTCAGAGGCTTAAGTA